AGATGCATCTAAAGCAAAAAATTATTCCTGCACAGGTTACCCGAGGGAGGTAATGTTTTGAATCATATTTCAGAATTTAAGGAGATTATATCTGATCTAGCTGCAATGGAGGTTAAGTATGAAGAGGAAGATACTGCTCTAATGTTACTTTGTTCACTGCCAAGTTCTTATACCAATTTTCGAGACACCATATTATACAGTCGTGATACTCTCACACTTAATGAAGTTTATGAAGCTTTGAACTCTAAGGAGAAGATGAAATTAATGGTGCCTCATGATGGTTCAAGTTCATCCCAAGCAGAGGGATTATCTGTTCGTGGCAGGACAAAGGAGAAGAACTCCAATAATGGAAACAGAGGCAAAAGTAAAAACGGCTACAGGGGTCGGTCACAATCCAGAGACAAGAAATATTGCAGATATTGCAAGAGAGACGGGCATGACATCTCAGAGTGTTTCAAGTTGCAGAATAAAGGAAAAGAGGAAATGTAACAAACAAGGTGAAAATTCTGCTAACGTTGCTCGTGATGATAGTTCCGATGATGCTCTTGTCGTTATTGCTGGATGTGCTGAGACCAATGATGAGTGGGTACTTGATACTGCATGCACTTTTCATATGTGTCCACATAGAGATTGGTTTAATAATTTTGATTCCACTACTTCTGTTGGTTCCGTTTTGGGTTTTGATAATTCACCATGCAAGATTGAAGGCATAGGTTCTATTCGAATCAAGATGTTTGATGGCATAATCAGAACTTTGACAGATGTTCGGTATATTCCGAAGATGAAGAGAAATCTTATCTCAGTTAGTGCCCTTGATGCAAAGGGTACAAGTATTCAGGTGGAGCTGGTGTTTTGAAGGTCACCAAAGGCTCCCTTGTTGTGATGAAAGGTGACTTAAGTTCGACCAATGGTCTTTATTACCTTCGAGGTTGTACCGTTTCAGGTAACGCTACTCCAGTTATTTCAAAGAATTCTGATTGTGATGCTGCTAACCTTTGGCATGTGCGTCTTGGACATATGAGTGAAATTGGTTTGGCAGAGTTAAATAAGAGAGGTCTTCTTGATGGATATGAACCTGGTAAATTGAAATTTTGTGAGCATTGTATCTTCGGCAAGCACAAGAGGGTGAAGTTCAACACTTCGACTCATACAACCGAAGGTATTCTTGATTATGTGCATTCTGATTTATGGGGACCATCTCGCAAGAAGTCACTAAGTGGTGCTAGTTACATGCTGACTATTATGGAATTATGTTCTAAACAATTTAAGAATTATTGCAAGTCTGAAGGCATTGTCAGACATTACACCGTTCCTTATACTCCTCAACAAAACGGTGTTGCTGAGCGTATAAACAGGACCATTATTTCTAGAGCCCGTTGCATGTTGTCCAATGCAAGTTTGCATAGGCGTTTTTGGGCTGAGGCCGCTTCCATTGCTTGTTATCTCATTAACCGTTCACCATCTATTTCTCTTAATAAGAAAACTCCAATTGAGGTATGGTCTGGTTCACCTGCTGATTATTCACGGTTGAGAGTTTTTGGTTGCACTGCTTATGCTCATGTTGATAATGGAAAATTGGAGCCTAGGGTTGTCAAGTGCATCTTTCTTGGTTATAAGTCTGGTGTTAAAGGTTTTAAATTATGGAATCCTGAAACCCAGAAGGTTGTTATTAGCAGAAATGTTATCTTTAATGAATCTGCTATGTTACATGATGTTTCATCTACTAATGTTCCCATTGAGAGTGAACAGCAGCCTATTGTTCAGGAGTCTACTATTCAGGTGGAGCATGTTATTGATTCAGGTGATACATCTGGTAATGATATTATTGATGCACATGATGAACCCATCGTTAATGATGATCATGTCACTCCCACTCCAAATCAGTCTATTGTTCCACCCAGTTGGAATCTTGCATGTGACAGAGTTAGGCGGGGTATTAATAAACCTGACAGGTTAATTGAAGAATGCAATATTGTTTCTTTTGCTTTATCTGTTGCAGAGGAAATTGAAGGTAATTCTGAGCCTTCTTCATATTCCGAGGCTATTATTTCTGGTGATAGTAATAAGTGGATGACCGCTATGCATGATGAGATGGAATCACTTGAAAAGAATGGCACTTGGGATTTAGTAAGATTACCTAGAGAGAAGAAACCTATTCGTTGCAAGTGGGTTTTCAAGAGGAAAGAAGGTGTTTCTCCTAATGATGAGACAAGATATAAAGCAAGGTTAGTTGCTAAAGGTTATAGCCAGATTCCATGTATTGACTATAACGAAGTCTTTTCTCCTGTTGTGAAGCATAGCTCTATTCGCACTTTACTTAGTATTGTTGCCATGCATGATCTTGAGCTTGAGCAACTGGATGTTAAAACAGCATTCTTACATGGAGAATTAGAAGAGGATATTTATATGGAACAACCTGAAGGTTTTTGTTATTCCTGGAAAAGAAAAGCTTGTCTGTAAGTTAAAGAAATCTCTTTATGGATTGAAGCAATCCCCTAGACAGTGGTACAAGAGATTTGACACCTTTATGCTCTCTCAAGGTTTCAAAAGGTCTAATTATGATAGTTGTGTTTATTTGAAAACTGTCAAAGGTTCAACTATTTATTTGCTCCTTTATGTTGATGATATGCTTATTGCTGCAAAGAGTATGTTAGAGATTAATGAACTAAAGAAGCAATTGAGTAATGAATTTGAGATGAAGGATTTGGGTGCAGCAAAGAAAATACTTGGCATGGAAATATCCAGAGATAGACCGTCTGGAAAAGTGTATCTAAGTCAGAAGGGATATATTGATAAAGTTCTTTGTCGTTTTAATATGCATAATGCCAAGCCAGTAAGTACCCCGTTAGCTGCACACTTCAAATTATCATCAGCTTTATGTCCTAAGTCAGATGCAGATATTGAGTACATGTCTAGAGTTCCCTATTCGAGTGCAGTTGGTTCACTTATGTATGCCATGGTTTGTTCTCGTCCGGATTTATCTTATGCATTGAGTGTTGTCAGTAGATACATGGCTAATCCTGGAAAAGAGCATTGGAAAGCAGTTCAGTGGATTTTCAGATACCTGCGTGGTACTTCTAATGCTTATTTACAGTTTGGGAAAACTAGAGATGGACTTGTTAGTTTTGTTGATTCTGATTTTGCTGGTGATTTGGATAAGAGAAGATCACTCACAGGTTATGTTTTCACCATTGATGGTTGTGCTGTGAGTTGGAGAGCAACTTTGCAGTCTATTGTGGCTTGTTCCACTACTGATGCCGAGTATATGGCTATTTCTGAGGCATGCAAAGAAGCTATCTGGTTGAGAGGTTTGTATTCTAAGCTTTGTGGAGACTCATCTTGCCCTACCGTATTTAGTGACAGTCAAAGTGCTATATATCTTACAAAGAATCCAATGTATCATGAGAGGACAAAGCACATTGATGTCAGATTTCATTATATTCGAGATGTTGTTGCTGAAGGCAATCTGAAGGTATGCAAGATAAGTACTCATAATAATCCTGCTGATATGATGACAAAGCCAGTTCCGACCAATAAGTTTGAGCTTTGCTCAGGCTTAGTTGGTATTTCTCACTAGTCCTATGGACTTTGACGCACAAGGTATTTATGCTGATTTGGATGGAGTCATTCACTTTCTTCGACTACTGGAGGAAATTTGGATCAAGGTGGAGATTGTTAAATTGTGATCCAAATTATACCGTGTTGGACTAGACGTAGTACAACTGGTGTGGGCCTTTGCGTTGACGTCGACGCGTACGAGTACAACTCGTTTACTTGTCCTCCAAGGACTCTCATGTATTGCCCTCTTATATACCCCATGTAGTCGTACCTCAGACGGTCTGTCGTCTCGTGCTTGTAATACTCCTCCTCATAGTGATCGCGCCTTTGTGCGTCCGTGGTTTTCTCCCGCAAGGGTTTCCACGTAAAAATCCGTGTCTCTCTGTCTCGTTTATTCTCATTATTATCTAACATGCACCTAGTTTAGACGTTCCACTCGAGCCGCATGCCGATTTTGTTGCGGTAACGTGGACGGAGAAAGCAACCTAGGGTTATGCAGAATGAAAGCAGGGTATCTGCAGACACTAATCTGGGGACTGCCCCTGTTTCAGCCATGCTTTATATACCTATGCATAAAACCCTGTCATGCCATGTTGGCTTGAAAAGATATTGTAATTTCTCGTACATCCAATAAAACAAGAAAGAATACATTACTCTGAATATGGAATCGTCAGTGTAATTAGGGTTCAGACTATTTTGCCTACTTGCAGAGTAGAGGAAGGCAAACAGCTAAAGATCTCTGACTACAGAACTAATAACCAAGCAAGAAGCGCTCTTTCCGAGAGACTTGAATCATATTTTCTTTGTCAAGGGAGCAGATAACAAAGTAGCACAATATCTACTGACAGAGGTAACATGCAATTATCCCCACACTTTGATTTCTTATATGTCTGCTTGGAATACGATAGAGATTTTTTTTAATTCAGGGCATGTAGATTTACATACCAGGAGTAGGTTAGAACCACGTGGTATAATTACTACAGAGTTTTGAATCAGAACTCGATCGAGCAGCCTAAATCCTGATTCGCGCCCCCGCTTTCTTTTCTTCAGCATCCCTTTCTTATTTTCGTTCGCAGCAAGGGCCACCGTAGTGGGGAACATCGGCGGCTGGCAGCCCTCTTCGAGGGCAAACCGATCATCTGTCAAATGTAAAATATAGAGTAAATATTATCATTTGGTCAAAAAGGAAGAATCGTGAGGCAAAGGGCATGGAATACCCAGACGTTTCTTAGAAAAATATCGTCAATGAGGTGAAGAGCAGGAAAAAAAAGATGTGGTACTCCCGATGATGGAATACGTTCTTTCTAAGTGCAAAGTTAATAGGAATACGTAGATAACAAATATATATGGCAGGGCACATACCTTTTGTTCTATGTGAGCAAGCTTCGTCTTGTTCTCCTCTGCTTCACACCACTGCTCTAAGTTAGGGCAGTTGAGAATTTCTAATTCTTGGAGATTTGTGAGTTGTTGTATCTGTCTGGCAGAGTCGTGATAGCAGGACAATACCCAATTCGAAGTTTCTTGAGAGAGGTATAAGTCCTCCTAACAACAGCGGCAGCTGTCTCAAGCTACAACAGCTACTTAGTGTTAATGATTGCAGCTGTTTAAGTTGCCCCATGCTATCAGGCAATTCCTCTAGGTTATTGCATCGCATTATCACCAGTTGCTGAAGAGATGGCAACTCACCTACCCATCCAGACAGTTTTGTTTGGGCCGAGTTCCTTAGTATTAGTGATTTGAGGGACCGGAGGGCCCAGGTGATCTCTGGTGAGCTTGCCAAATCACAGCAATATTTGATCCTCAAATCACTGATGGCAGGTAGATGGTGAAGCAATCGCCACTGATGCAGAGGCACCTCCTTGTTTTCAACTGTTAGATTAGTAGAAACTCCTACTGGAGAAGAAGATGAGGAAGCACAATTGTGTAACACGCTCTCTGCCTATGATATGAGCACATTATCACTTCCCTTTATATACCAAGATGCAGCTCTAGGAAGGTGTGGTGTTATCCTCAGTTTGCTGCAATACTTTATAATCACTTCCTCAAGTTTACAGAACACGAGCTCATTCACACCATCCTCGCCACTAGAGTATGTTGTGTTCCATTCTTGCAGGCTTTCCATGCGTTTCAGAATAAGCACCTGGAGATTTGGTGGTAGTTGGGCGAGGGGTGGAAAACTGTTGCAGTTGGGCAAATCAAACATCTCCATTCGGACAACATTAGGGAGATAATTGCCAATACTCATTAGCCAGTTTGGAAAGCTGACGCTAATATAACCATATATCCCAAAGCTCTGCAAAGCGGTCGGTGGCACTAGCTCTGTCAACAACTCCATGTCATCCACAGATCTCTTCCCTTTTGGCGTCCACTTTAATGTCAATTCTTCAATCCTCTGTTTTTCAATCAATTTTACACTGCGTGCCTCTTCTCGGGACTTCACATTTTCAAGTTTGTCGATGTACAGCTTGTCAGGATTTACATGCTCAAGCAAGCCAAGGCTGGTGTAACATTTACTATCCTCGACAGTTACAGAAAACATTGGCAACAAGCCAAAAAGGCTTTGACAGTCCATTTTAGCCACACATTCTGGAAGCCTAAAAACATGGCTGCAGTTTTGAAGGACCAGCTTCTGGAGGCAGCTAGCACTTTGTGGTATACTAATAAGAGGATGACCATTAAAAGACAGGTCCAGGTGCTCCATATTGGGAAGCCTACAGATACAGTCAATGAAACTCTCAGTTTGATCTGTTGATGAGCTGTCAAATATATGATGCATGCACCCTGATAGCTTCAGATTGCGGAGTTCGGTGAGATTGCTGATGACTTCTGGACGTCCTCTGAGATTTTCACATGCTGTTAATTCTAAATGTTGGAGTTTGGAAAGGTTAGCCAAAGCTTCGTGTAGTCCTAAAACATTATCACTCTCTGATAAGTTCAGATATACCAACTCTTTGAGATTCGCAAACGAATGTGGGAGTTCTTTCAGATTCGGACAACCTGATAAGTTAATCTACATCAGACCTTCCATTTCACCAATTGACTCTAGCAATGCTGACAATTCCTCACAATTACTAAGGTTGAGATAATTCAATTTTCGAAGCATACCGATACACCCGAGATCCACTCGACCCTGGATATTTGGAGCATGAAGATACCTCAACTGCTTCAATTGACCAATAGAAGTGAACAACCTATTCGATTTGACTGATGCATGCAAGACACGGACGTACTTTGCTGGTGCAATTGCATCATGATGGAACTTAGACCATGAGGTTCCAGCTGCGCGCACAATATTCAGCGCCCTTAACTTTTCAGGTGAAGTCGTGGATGACTTTAGTGGCTTCGTGCAATCTATGTTCCATGCATAGCGGCAGTTGGGGCCCGTCAAGTTAAATTCGTCAGCCATGACTGACCTTGCGAGGTCATGCACCAGGTCATGCATTGTGAACAGTGTGACAATCTTGTTTGTGTCGTAACATTCAACGACAGCCTGCAGGATAATATACAATGGTGTAAGACTTGCAGTTAAAATTTTACTACTGATGCAAGGATAGGTTATGCACAATTGGATGTTGCAACGGATAATTAGAGGATAATTAGCCCAATGTTAATCTCGGTTTGCAATTCAGAGTTTAGTCTATTTTCAGAAAGACTACTGCTTTTTCCATCAAACCTATTGTTTACCTTGTAATGTCCTAATCATAAAAAAAAATCCAATCTAATGCAATTATCATCTAATGTCGTTCATATTATAAAACCACACGCAAATGAGAAGTAAAATAAGAACCTGAACTCCAAATTATTACATGTATCTCTACTTCTAAAGGAGTTGGTAGCTTGGTATCCAGGTTTATTTTCGCCTCACCTCCCACCACCCCTCCCACTGGCTTATTTTGGCCTCACTTCCCAACACCCCCTCCCACTAGATTTTTCTCACTCCCATTAAAAAACTAAAACCTATTAAAGGGAGAGATCTTGTTTCTTGCTTCTTTCGGCAGGTGCTAATTCAATTCAGTCACTTAAATAATAGGTAATTAAGTATTCAGAAATTGCATCATATATGTGAGATCACCTTCCTAAAAGACAAACATACGATTTTTCTTGATAACCTTTCAAAAAAATCAGATATTCCTGAATAACAAATTGCTAATCCCGTGCACTATGCCGTTTATTATTATCATTATCTGTACTATTAATTGAGAATCACAACTTTCCTAATACAATGTTAACAATAACTTTCCTAATACAATGGGGATGTGTGGAAGG